GGTGAGCCAGGCATTCCCTCTTATTTATGAAACGGTTATTGATTCTTAGACTGGAGTTACTCAATCGCTATAGCGTCTTATTCGAAAATGAGAGGTCTCGAGTTCGAGGCCCGATCGGGTCACTTGCTTTTCTTTTATCCGAAGTTGATAAATGAGTACCACCCTGTCTGAAGGAAGCAGGAGACTACACGCAATGCTTGCTACATCGCTGTAAAATTTGCCTTTAAAATAAGGAACTCACTTTCTGGTAGCTTGAAAATGTAGATCAACGTCTTACCATTAGTTTCATTAATAGAAGAACGGCAAAAGAAGAAGAAAACCAAAAATAAACCGCTCGTTGAGGAAAACCTACATTCCAACCGTTACAAACTTTGTTTCTTTACTTCCTTTGCCTGTTGTTCAACTTGCATTTGCATATGCTAGAATCGGAAATGTTCAGTAGTAGAAGGTATAGCGAATTCTTCCAGGACCATTTTAGAAAGCATAACGATTATTTGAATCATGTGGCCTTAAGAGTTTAAACAAATTGTAAGGTAGCCATCGCAGACCTGAACGGATCATTTCGCTCAAGGGTTTCTCCTTCAGTTTCTCCAAGGTTAATGTCTATACATATATGACAACGCATCGACGAACAACGGTTTTATTCAACATAACTTCATCAAAACATGCACGCCAAAGGTTGACCTGCGGAGTTACCCTTTTGTCCTCTTAGCCGTTGACAGTAAGAGAGCCAATCCTTACGCGTTGGTCCATTTCCAGCAATTCCCCGCCAATGTGTCATTTTCACTAAATTCTGGCGCTGACCTTTACGTAATGGCCATCGTTCAAGGCCATCGATTTCCCTTAATTGTTCCTCTATGCGGAACATCTATATAAAGGTGGCGTCTGATCTGCTGCAGTAATATCACGTATCAGGGTATATTACGGATGTATTGTTAATAGATTCCGCGTGTCGGATTTCGGTTTGCCTCAGATATTTTTTTGTTCGACTGTTACATGCCTCTATTTTGAATTAAACTTCGATTTGTTTAACTCGAAGATCGTGACTCCTTCATTGACAGCTCTTTTAGGCGGAAAGTGGACCACATACAGGCACATGGCTGAAGAAACGATCGATAAAGCGATCGAAGTCGCTGAGTTGAAACCCACTGGCCCCTGCGTTACAACCGAAGTATTTCTTGAAGGTGGTACCAGTTACAATTCTTTGCTCTATATCCGCTTGGTACAGGATTTTGGTCTTGAACTAGAGGTATGTTCTGATTGTTTTGTGACTGTTGTCCACGTTAGTTCAAAATCGTGATTGGTTAAAGTAGTGGCTAGATGCATGTCTTTGTCGATACTCTTCACTAAGCACCACAATTAAGGTGGGCGACTTTTAACACTGCGTACATTATTCTTTGTTTCTGCAGAACTGAAGCTATATTATTTTTTTGCATGCCGCAGAACAATTTTTTCCTAAAGCATCGTTTACTTCAATCTGTTCCCAATACTACCTTCTTTGTCATCGTTTTCTTCATCTATATTTCCAGTTATTATTAAACGCTGTATTACCACTGGTACATTTATTTTAATCAGGTTTAAAGTATGCGTAGTGTTTACAAAAGTGGCCTTGTTTTTTTCCGGCTAACAGCTCCATCTAACACGGAAAAAGGAACTGAAGCACTGTTCTTAAAGTCCAAGCTGTCTCCAGCAGTTTCTCCATCTGCAGTGCTTCGATTCTGATCGCTTCAATGGTTGACCTTTATAGTCGTTGATGGTTGTTTACACTGCTATGGTGGCACCGATTGCTTTCTCCAAGTGATTACTTCCGCCTTGACTTTTACTAGATATTTCCTATTTCCATATTTTGGTACTGCATTATACTTTCTCTCCCCGTAGCAATGACTGTAATGACCGTCAGAAATGCTGTCGATGATTTTTGCCCGCTTTTTCGCTTTGCTTGCCAGTCCTGACGATGAGTTAATATTACGTTCACTGTTCTTATTGAAAAGCTCTTCAGTTCATTATTTTAACTTACTCTGTTTCTTCTGCTTTTTGCTCCTCTTGTCTACTCCACTATTTCTTGGGCACTAATAATCTGGTTCGCTTAAGCAAATATCACTCGACGATGTATGCAACGTTTTTGTGCTTTTTGTAGTGTCAATTAGCGAGCTTTTAGCTGCCGGAAACCCTACAGGCCACAACTTCATCCTTAGCTTGGTACATTCTACACTTAGTTGCCAGCTGCCTGTGCGGGCTTTCGACTTTGCACGAATTCATATGCACTGCTATGCCCACTTGGCTTCGGTTTCGCCATGGACTTCACTCCCAAATAGACAGTCAAAGGTCTGATTAATATGTCTTCACCAAGTAGGGAAGATAATTGCGGGAAGTTTGTTTTTGTTTGCAGCAGGCGCATCAAGCGGTCTTTACAGCTTCCTTATGAAGTACTTGATTTTTCTGTTTTAAGTTCTGATTCGCAGAAGGCTATGCGATAGTCGGGGTCAGGCTCCCTCGCAGTTTTTCTTTTTGAGGTTAATAAATGAATACTACTCTGCTGGAAGGAAACAGAAGACTATGCGCTATGCTTTTCACACGGTTGTAGACGCTGCCTTTAAAAAAATAAGGCACTCGTGACGGAGATCAGCACCGCACCGTCAACTTCATGAAAAGAAAGATGCCAAAATGTCCCAGTCATGAATATGAAGGAACACTCCATCATTCGATATTCAGCATCCTACTAATATTGCGCTGATAAGATACTGCCTCAAGAATGCTATTTCCAATTGAAACATGAATGTGATACTACGAAGCCTTCTTTCTTCTACACGAGGCTCACATGGTCTTTGCGTATCGGCTGTCAGAAGTACTGGTCCATTATGTTAAAGATTTTTCATCTCTTACTGTCCAGTATTCACCTGCGCGCTTGCGTCCCCTTTATTGTCGTTAGTACTGGGAAGGCGTTTATTCTTCAGGACTCCGTGAATTGTTTTCACGTACTCTCGTTTATCACTTCATTTTCTCGTGTAATATGCCGTCAAGTTAGAACCCGAAAGTTTTTATGCGACTTATTTTTTAAATATGTTTATTCTACCGGTGGGTAGTTTTTTTACATTGATTTTCTAGATTTTGTTTTCTTTTTCTTTATCATATGCATTTCTAAAAAGAATCGTGTGCTTTGAATCAGAATTTTATTTCCATCTCTTTGCCAGATCTAACATACAGTTTCAGATCATCCGTACACAACAAATAGGATATTGCATTGCCGTTGTTGAACTTTTATCTTTTCCTGGTGATATGCAGCAACTGTCCGAGCACAGTAAATGCCAAAAGCGAGAAGATTGAGTTTCCCTTAGAGATCCCTCACGTAATTAATCACTGGTAATTGTTATTGTGCTAAACCTTTCATTTGACTTTTTTATTCATTTGGTCCTGTCGGTTTTGGTAAAGATACGCGTCGACCGTCAAATAAAACTGGCCGTCAATAAAAAGCAAGTGTTCCAGACCTACTTTTAAAGATTAAAGGAAAAGGAAAGTATATACCTGTTAGAATGGCGGTTTTTGTTACACTTTCATGGATGGGGAATTTGTTGCATCCGTCTTTTGATGAAATTAGTGTTGCGGTCGCTGATCTCCATTTTCATTGCGTCAGCTCACACTGCGGTATTTTAGGGACAGAGTCAATAGCAGCTATGCAGTCGTTCAGCATAGTGTGTAGTGTCCTATTTACTTCCCACAGAATGATACTTGTATATCAGTCCTCGGAAGGAAGAAAGGCGAGTGGTCAGAGCGGGATTTTAACCCAAGACCGTGGTTCTGACCTATCTGCCGATGAAACAATCCCGGTCTAGACCTGCTCTCTTATCTACTAAAATACAATTGTGTTTTATCACTAATATATGTATGAACCGTTCTATCATCGTTTGGCACCGCCATCATGCTTTTTGTTGTCTAGAGTTTATCAAAACGGGTAATGACCCGTTGTGGTTTAAAATTCACGATGCACATCCATCCTACATCGTTGTATTTGTTCCATCATCGTTTCATTTTTCGCCAGTGATGTTTCCATGCCCAACATGCCGTACTTTTCTGTATGATTTTTAAACGTCAGAAATATAATTTGCGGGAATACGTTGTTTATTCATCAGCACATAATCGAAGCGAAATTCAGATTCACAGTGTTACATCAGTAGTTGTCAATATGGTCGTTTAAGCAAGACATTATTTTATGGCATTTTAGCACCTGCAAAGATAATATGCTCTTATATTATTATGATTGTTATTGTTCATAGTACTTTTGATATTGTCGGTATGCTGTGAATGAAATGTTGGTTGTTGAAATGAAATGTCATTCACGATGACAAAGGAATAACTCTAGTCAATCTTCTTATTCTTATAACTTTAAAATCAGAATGACGTGAGATGCGTAACTCTACAGTAAGTGGTAGAATACCATTGAGCCGTTATTCTGCTGAAAGAGCATCGTAACCGACTAACAAAAACGGGCAGTATTGTCGTAACCGTGTCTAAGTCGATTTTGGAGCAGTTATGCGAGGAAATTTAGTATCGGGTGAGATGTGCGTTATGTGACATAACATCGGCCGACTAACATACTGTAATGTTTTTGCCGTAGCATATAACGAGTGCTAGTTACTGAAACATCGTTAATGATGAGTGCAGTCTGATTTACCGAGCAAAATTAAGCAAGATACCCCCTGGCAGCTAAGTTAAATCTGGAGTTGTAGCGGTTATGCGTTATCTAACATAATTTTATAAAATTATTCATAGGTGCTATTACAGCACTTAATAATTACTGTTATTGTTAATGCGTTGTTAATCTTCATCAGCTGCACCACGTTTATCTTCCATCACCGTAATAAACGATGTATCACTTGTCTGAAGCGTCGGCTTGTTAGTCATATTAAATGTTCCCGGTCGTAGGGATATGAGAATGTTCTAAATGTTAGCTATTAATATATTTGTTTTCGCTAGGTCGCGAAACATTTGGCGTCAACGTATGGTGATAAAGCCGTTTCTGTGGCAAAGTTGGCCAAGTTGACCGGAAAGCGTTATCCGGTTGTTGGCAAGCGCTTGCATGAAGAGTTTCCTTATTTGGAAGCTGAGGTATTGTTTCTAGTGTTTTTAAGCATTTTCCAAAGTCTTTTGCGTCGTTACGACGAGATTTAAGTGCAGTTAAGCAAAGATTTCCTGCAAAGCTTTTATTAAAATTTTATTTTGCCTTCATTTAGCCTTGCGGTTTTGTTTATATTAAAGCAGTTTGTTTACACCGTTTTGATAACCCTCTGCGAGGCGGGTCAGCGCTTCGTGGTGCAGAGGAGGAACCGCTGGCGATGAGGTGGCTGTACCTGAACTCACCTAGGAAGGTTCTCAGCCGGCCAAGCCTGGCAGAACTGTCACCTGGAACCCCATTCGGCAGGAATGAAAGGCATATGGACGCATTGTTCATGAAGCCTGGCAAGCGTGAACAGTAGCAAAAACTGTTTCTAAGATTCGAGTGGAAAGAAGTCAGAAGCACAAATTGCCCTCTGTTTTCTGTGCGCAGCTCTAATCGGACTACGGCAGACTACATTGCACGACTGACAGATGATCGATGCATTTCCAAAATCTCGGATTGTTACCTACCGGGCTGCAAGCACCTAATTGAGACTTCAGTTCAACTGAGACAATGGGCTAAAAGAAAGATATGGAATTTTTGGCGGCAAGTCGAATGAGAAGATAAGCGTGAGCTCGATTCTAGGCA